ATCAGTCGATGGCAGTGCATGGGGGAAGTTTGCACTGTTGCCTCCTGGATAATATATGCCACACTTTGAAGGGCACTAAATTGGCATAGAAATCTTTAAGGTATTTAAAAAGGGTGAATAAAAGAAATGGCCTTGGGCATCTTGCAGGGAATTTTGCAAAACATCCTATTTGAATTGCATTTCTGTTTAGGGACATCACTTTTTATATTTCTTTTTCATTGTTTTGTGAGGTTAAAAGGAAAAAAAAGTCCCTTTCGTTGCTCCTTTTTGAGGTTTAAAGAAGACCTGTGAGGGATTTTTTGTTTTTTTGTGGTGTTTTTTTTTACGCTAGAAATTTGTGTCTGGTCTTCCCTGTCTCTTCTTGGATGAGCCTATGAATGGATTGCTGATAGGATTAAAACACTAGAGAAACTATATAATCAGACTGCCTTATGTCCCTTTGAGCACATCCTCAAAATTAAACATGTGCTTTCCTGAATTGGCTTTTGATGCCTTGTCTATATTGAAAGTCGCGCCAGTTTAAAATCACACCGCTAGTTAAACTGATTCAGTTAAACCGATGCAAAGTCCTGTTTGGACACACTCTGAATGCTGTTTAAACATGGCTACACTTGCAGATATAGAGCGCCGGGAGTTAAACCAGCCCTTGGAGACGGCAGCCGGGAAAGCACTGCTGTCTGTTTGCGCTGTCAGCTGCAAGCGCAGTGGCGTGGCCACATTAGCAGCTCTTGCAACGCCCCAGAGAGCAGTGCACTGTGGTAGCTATCCCAGTCTGTAAGTGGCTGCAGCGTGCTTTTCAAATGGGCAGGGAGTGGAATGAGGCAGTGTGTTGTGTGTATGTAGGGGGAGAGACTGTGTTTTGGGGGGCAGAGAGTGTGTGTCCTCATGCTGTCTTGTAAGTTCAAGACAGCAGCAGGGGGAAACTCTGACATCAGTCCCCCTCCTCCCCCACGCCTGCCTCGGTAGCAGCAGCATTCCACAGTAATGGTTTGCGTTGTCCCGGAGCAGATAAGCATGCCGGCTGTCGGAAACGGAGCTTTGAAAGGGGTTATCCCCATGCCTGCAGCCGAGTTCAAACCAATGACAAGAGTGGCCACTTGACTTCAAGGGATTATGGGATGTTTCCAGAGGCCAATCACAGCGCAGTAATGCAACACGTCGTCCACACTGACACCCGGGCGTTTCAGCCCCGGCGCAGCAAGCTCTATGCTTCTCGTGGAGGTGGATTACCAGGAGCGTTCCAGCTGCAGAGTCCAAGCGCTCTAAGTGCCTTGCCAGTGTGGGCACCTCAGGAGTTAAGGCGCCGGGGGCTGATTTAATGCGCTCTAACTTGCAAGTGTAGCCAAGGCCTGAGTGAGCTTTAGCCCACACAGTTTTGCACTGGTTTAACAAAATCAGTTTTAAACTGGTTTAAAGATAAACAAGAGCAACTTGGAACATAGACAAGACCTGAGCAGGGAGGGGATATTTTTTTTTTTATTGAGACTGTTTAAAGGCTTTTTGTTGTGTGTTAAAAACTTGTTTAACCCGAAGGCCTCAATAAACAATTGGAAAGAGAACCTCTTTTGTTAAAAATTCAGCATCTTCCACTCCTTCAGTCAAGGGCTGTGTGGACACCAAATCAACATATCTAGGTCCTCCATAAAGACCTCCAGCAAAACATGGAAGACCAGAATTGACAGCCCTGGTATTTCTAAGGTAAAAGGTGTGGAAGAAAAAGAGCCCTTCTTTTGAAATAGCCTTTCCAGACTTCTTAGATATCAGGAAGAAGCAAACAAGGGCTGGCACTCAATTTTCAACCCCTTACATGTCATCTTTAAACCAGTTTGCAACCAGCAATTTTTGAATTCTTTCATCTAGGATGGCCCAGTGGTGGTAATGCTAGGCTGGGATTCCAGAGATGTGAGTTCAATGCCCTGCCCTGCCCCAGATTCCTTATGTGACTGTGGGCAAGTCAGTTAGCCTCTCTGTGTGCCTCAGTTTTCCCCATCTGTAAAATGGGGATAATAGAACTTCCCTACATCATAGGGCTGTTGTGCGGGTAGATACATTAAGGATTGTGAGGTTCCCAGATCTGTGGTAATGTGGGAGGGCCATATAAATACCATAGATAGCTCCTCTTTGCTCCTTTGAGCGTTAGTAATAGAAGGAAAGGCTACGACACTTCTCAGATACGTTTTCGTGCAAACTAATAATGTGATGTTATTATTATTTTTTTTGTCTGTGGCACAGCTATAATGAAAAAGGCAAACTAAATTTTTCCAACCTGTCACCCTACACGATCAGCTTCATCCTCAAACATCGCATGGGACAATCTCTCTTCGTAAGAGCAAAGACAGTCACTCAGACGCTTGAAAGCTTTTTTGCTTCTCCAGATGAATTCATATTGGTGGAGCACACCCCCATATGGTGCAAAAATACACACGGCATGAGGGTCCTAGTCTGTGAAGAAGAGAAGCAAGTGAGTATTGATGGAGAGGCCAGAGGCCAGCTGGGAAGGAGTGGAACGTGCATTAAAACAGACTCCAGTGATACAGTGGTCCTTACGATTCAGCAGTCGGAAATTACCAATCAAATGCATTTCTCTTGTTTCCCCTGGGTTGGTCTATGAAAAAGGAATATGTCTTCCTTGCGTGATCCCCTTGCAGCAGATGAGACAAGAAACGCATCGTAGCTCTGATTCAAAGTCTTTTAAAGTCATTGGGAGACTTTTCCAGTGGGTTTAGACCAGACTCAGTATACGTCTGAGGAACAGAGGGAGAAACTTGAGATCCCATGTATTTCTGTTAATATTTGGAAGGCATTCCAGTACTACAGTGTTGACAGTGGTATAAAAATAACTGGATAGATTTAAGAGGGCCAGTTCTGGCTTAAGAATACAGTTCATTTACTGTGTTTAAAAGTAGCTGTATGGCTGAACAAAACTTTGGCAGTAGTTAGTTGTTTGGCTGGGACTTTTTATTTGAGTCTTGTGTTTTAACCCATCCATACACTTGTTAAAATCACATCATTTTAACATTTAGGAAGAGTCTAGAACAGGTTTATTTTTAACCAGGGTTTTAGTTTTTATTTTGTTTTTTTAATATTTTGAATGCCTATAATGATCACTTAACATGTTAATTTCTTCAAATACGTAATTTTTGATTTCGTCATCCAAGTACATAATAGAGATTCATTTCTAGAGGCCAAAACTCTGTCAGTTGATAAAATGAATTTTCACAAGGACTTAAGTTCTTCAAATTATTTCCTGTAAAGCACAATTTTTAACCCTCAATAAATGGGGTCTGGAAATGAGATAATGAGTCTTCCACCTCTAGATCACCATTTCAAATCCACCTC